AGTGGTGTGTGCTTGAGGAGGGGCAGTTTGATGGCAGAATGGGAAAAAGAAAGTTGGACGGTGGAGGCATGCCTGACCTTTATTACATAGAAATAGGCTTCAGGCGGTTGAGTTTGATTCTCCTTCCCCCTTGTAAACTCAGAGGAGGCCAGACAACACACCCAAGTAAGTCTTACACATACCCACATTTATTATGTTACACTTATTGATGAAATCAAGGATCCCTAGAGGCACAGTGGCTCAGCGCCCGGCTGCTGACTGGAAGGTCAGTAGTTTGATCCCACCAGTCATTCTGTGGGAGTAAGATGTGGCAGTTTGCTTCTGTAAAGATTTGCAGCCTCGGCAACACTATAGGGCAGTTCTACTCTGTTCTATAGGGTCACTATGAGTTGGAACCAATTTGGTGGCAACAGGTTGGGCTTGGTACTAATTAAATCAAATAAAGAACATAAGAGCCAACTTTTTACTGAGGTCTCTAATTTTAACTGTCTCACTTATTTAAGAACAATGAACGCTCCCAGAAAGCAATGTTGCCCAAAGCCACAGATACATGTAACTGTCCCGGCAGGTTTCAGGGGGCCAGGACAATACAGCTGGGAAGCGCACAGGCTCTGGAGCTAGACTGGATTGGAAAGACTCTCCTCTTAGCTCACTGCTTAAATTTACACAAGTTACTGCCCACCCTCACCCACTGCCTCACTGTCCTAATTTGAAGAAAACTTAGAACAGCAGCACAACTTGATTGAAGACCTATGATGATTAACAAGATATTGCCAAAAGAAGTAATTCACAGAGACCCCAGCACACAGTCATTATAAATGCCAGAGCCATTGGGAAATAGTAGAGATGCGCCCATCCCATAATAAAGACTAAATTCTACTGACTCTAACATCACTCACTTCTCTATGACAGAAGTTTCAATTCATAGAGATATTTTAAAATTTCTTATATGATATATTTTAAATACATTTAAGCAGTAGATAACAAAAGAACTCCATTCTACCGTTTACCAAATTAAAAAGAAAACTCTTCCTTAAGATTACTATGCTAATTCTTTCTTTCCTCTAATGACAAGATTAAATTATCATTTAAAACATGACACTATATTATTTTGTTTATAGTTCTACAATAATAATTGCAGGCACAATCGGAATACTTATTAGGAAAAATAGTTAATCCAAATAAGTTGAATTACAACATGTTCATTCTTGCTTTGAAAGAAAAATGAAAGGAATAATATAGTTTAATTTTCTTTTAAAATTTCCTTAACATGAGCTGCAATCCTATATATGTGAAATGCCTGTAAACTTTGAGAATTTTAGGTCATTTACAATGCTGCGCTTTGAAAATTCCCAACTGCTTCATTTTGAATAATTTCACTATTACTCATCCCAGAATGTATTTACATAGGTATCAATGTTATGATTTCAATTTTTTTGACTATATATATTTTAAAAATGATGTAATCACTGGACAAGCAATAGTTACTGCAGGGCAACAGAAAATAGTCTTCATTTATTTAAGGAGCAGACAAAACAAGTCTTCATTGCTCTGCAACTTGAATAGCTCCCAGAACCAGGATATTACCTGCCCTGACATAAGATCCTTAGTCATCACTGGCTATTCTGCAAGGGCTCACACATCTGTCTGATGAATCTCGGAAGCTCTGCATTATAGTGGGTGGTGAAATTAACTAAGAGAGAAATTATACATGCCCTAGCATCTCAATCTTCTTAAAAAGCTCTGAACTTGGTTATTTCATAAGCAAGCACTATTATCTCTAATGGCCATGGCATTTTCTAGTAACAATTTAGGTGCCTGAGAGTCTTATTAACTCTTTGAGGACATTAAGGTTCCATTAAGAACATTAGATCCTGAAGCCTAATTGTAGCGCACCCTGTGGGCCTGGTGGTCTCCCAGTGTTAATGAGCCAGTCACTGTGTCCGATTTTCTATGCGGGAGTACAAGGCACCTGGTTTCAAATGTTATTTAGGCTTTGTGTAGAATTTCACATCGACCACTCCGTTTCAGAAGATGAAATGTGAAGATTTAAAATAGTCATGTTAAAATTACAGAAATACAATTTCTTTGCCAGCAGGAACAGTTTCTTTCTAATGGAAACATATGTTCTCTGAGGTAATGGCAAGTTTGAGCTCATTCATATCAAAGTTAAAACAGGATAATATAGCCTACCAAAATCTGCACATGTTCACTAAGATCAAAGAAGTTATTTCATCACAAATAAAACAACTCACAAACTTTCTAAAAGAATCACAATAAAAAAATCACAATTTAATATGCCTCAATTAATATAGTTTTAGATGTATTTATGAGAAGAAAGATTGTATAGAAAGTACAAGATTTATTAAAACAAAAAAGAAAAGCAATATGATTCAACCAACTCAGATAACAGCAATATGATTTAACAGTCAGAAGACAGATTTTACATGTCCTATAATGTCTCAAGGTAGCAGTCCAGTACTGTTCATGTGAATAATCGATCTTACAAGTAAATAGAAATCAATTCAAACCATTTTTTTCCTTTGACTGGATATGTTAAAAAAAAATTTGTAGATTAAAAACTTGTTATTTATTTACTACTTTTATAAAGTATGAAAATAAGATAAACAAACCCAAGTAAACTAATGAAATGTATAAGAAATGTATATCACTTATGTGTTCAAGTCTCATAATTGTAGTTTCCATTTTTAGTTTTGACTGAGGTAAGATGACTAACCTTTCTCTCTCCAGTTATAGGCAAAAAGATGGGGGTGGGGGTGGGGGTGGGGGAGAAATCCCTCCTGCTGTTCCATGTTAAGAAAGGGTACTATATTCATAGAAAAGAAAATAAGTCAGATCATAAGTATAATGGGCTTCAATCAGCTCATAAATCTACAAGGTGCCGTTAACAAACCCACGGACAAGAGAGCAGCAAGTGATCTAAACTCGATGGCGAGGAGGGTGTAGGGTGCCTTGTAGGACTTGATCAAGGGCAATGTAACCCAGAGGAATTACTGAAATCTGAATGAAGGCCGAACATAAGAGTGGGAAAAGAGGAAAGTAAAAGGAACTAGAAGAAAGAACTAGGAGGCAAAGGGCATTTAGAGAGGTCTAAATATAGGCATGTGTGTATGTAAATATATTTCTATATAATGATAGGGAAATAGATCTATGTACATATATTTACATGTTAAGTATCAAGGTAGCAGACAGACATTGGACCTCTACTCAAGTACTCCCTCAATGCAAGAACACTTTGTTCTATTAACCTGGCATTCCTTGATGCTCAGCTTCCCAAAACGATTGCTGTAGACAAAATGGGTTTATAGCAAATGTGGTGAAGAAAGCTGACGGTGCCTGGCTATCATATAGAGTCTGGGGTCTTAAAGGCTTGAAGATAAACAAGTGGCCACCTAGCTGAGAAACAACAAAGTTCACATGGAAGAAGTATACCAGCCTGTGTGATCATGAGGTGTCAAAGGGATCAGATATCAGGCATCAAAGACTCAGAACAAAAAATCATATCAATGTGAATAAGGGGGAGTACAGAGTGGAGATCCAAAGCCCATCTGTAGACAATTGGACATTCCCTTACAGAAGGGTACCAAGGAAGAGATGAGACAGTCAGGGTACAGTACAGCACAGATGAAATGTACAGCTTTCCTCTAGTTCTTTAATGATTCCCCCCACCCCCCCACTATCATGATCCCAATTCTACCTTACAGTTCAGGCTAGACCAGAGGATGTACATGAGTACAGATAAGAGCTGTAAACACAGAGAATCCAGGACAGATAAACCCTTCAGGACCAATAATGAGAGTAGTGATATCAGGAGGGGAAGGGAAATGTGGAGGAAAAAGGGGGAACCGATCACAATGATCTACATTTAACACCCTCCCTGGGATATAGACAACAGAAGGGTGGATAAAGGGAGACATCGGTGTAAAACATGAAAAACTAATAATAATTTACAAATTATCAAGGGTTCATGAGAGAGGGAGCCGGGGGAGGGGAAAAAATAAGGAGCCGATATCAAGGGCTCAAGAAAAAGAAAATCTAGAAGGTGCCAGGAGGAGCCTAAATAATTTAAGGTGAAACTGAAAGAGCAAATGTTATAAAAATGGGGGGAGGAGGAATATGGACAAAGAATAATAATAGCTACCGTATATTTAGTCCTTCATATGTAAAAGCCAGATATATTACATAAAACGTTTCTTACGCTGTCGACAACCTTGGCATTGGTATTATCATCTGCATGTATGGAATTCAGAAAGACTGAATGATCTGCCTGGAACTTGCCCTGCCAACAACGTTCAGGCTGAAGTCTGCTTGGCTCTAAGGAACATTAACTCTTCATGAGGACATGCTATATCCAGACTTTAAATCTCTGGGGCATCTGAATCTCTAACAACAGGCCATCCCCATTCATTCAAAGAAAAAGAGAGGGAACAGGGTGGTGGTGGGGTTGAGCTGATATCAGGCAGGCATGACGGAAACCAAGAGAGGAAGAAGAAGATGGAGGAAGAAAGAAAGAAAGAAAATCTTCTGGAGATAGAGTCAGTAACCAGAGTGTACTTTCTCAATCTGTCTGTCGACATCAGTGATTCTCAAAGTGGGCCATACTACCCCATGGGGGCACCAGAACAATCCAGGGAGCTGCACAAACAGATACCTACATTTTACCCTCGCTTATGAGCCATAGCACAGGAGTTTTTAATTGCCAGGAATACGGAGTAATTTTTTTTGAAAAGACAGCAGTAAGTCAAATAAGTTTGGGAACATATATCTATTTTCCTCTCTTGTTCCTCCTATCAATGACACAAACATGTTAGACATAACCATGTTACATTTCCCCCATGGGTATCTTAGAAATAGCACACAGAACAAAGCATAATATTTAACTCCCAAATCTATAATATTTTGCATGCACCCATTTTACATTCTAAGAGTTCCAATGATACATTGCCTTGTTTCTGTTTTGTAGAAAGGTATAGCCTTACCATGAATCTTTGAGGCTTCCGGATCATTCACATTGATAGCAATTACTTTCCAATCAGTTTCACCTTCATCAATAAGAGCCAAAATTCCAAGGATCTTCACTTGGATGACCTCTCCACGAGAAAAAATCTTGATGGAAATAAGAAATTCATTGTTTGCAAGGTTTGTGAGAAATATATTTATATGAAAACATTTAGACAACTAGAAAGCAGGACAAAACACAGAAAGTCGTTCTTGCAGACATAAAACACCAGGCAGTCCAGAATCATGAGCCCAGAGTGATGAAAATACATGCTGAGCGCTTAGTCTTGGCTTTGTGCTTCACACACTTTCTAAACCAGAGGTTAAAAAAAAAGGAAAAGTACAGAGGTCTTCCTGAGATGAGGAGTCAAAGAGTAAGGTTCAGAGTCTGTAAGAGCTGGAATGTCAGGCCGATGACTGAACAGGAAGGAAGATCACAAAGAAATAAATCCATAAACTTTTAAAGGGATTCCTTTGGGTACTTACATAGTGCAAAACCTCCAAGTCTGAGGAAATAATCATTTAAGTTCTGAAAACCAGGAAAACGTCATTAACAATAAAGAGTCCAGAGAATCATGTCTGAGTGGTACAGCTAAACTAGTCCTCTAGTAAAACTATTCTGGCTTCGCCATAGTAGTTTTAAAAGATTCCTAGAAAGGATCAGTCTGAGCTAAGAGTACCTTAAGTACCTGAAAAAACCAACACTCTTTAAAAGGAAACAAAATCCAGGCAATCAACAATATAACATTCACAACATTTAAAATCAAGAAACAGGTGCATGTAACTCCTAAATTGGAGGAGGAAAAAAAAAATCAATTAAAATGACAGATGTCAGAATTAACAGATTTTAAAACAATTATTATTTTCATTCATTTATTTTAAAAAATCATTTTATTGGGGACTCATACAGCTCATCACCATCCATATATACATGCTCCCCACCACTATTATGATCCCAATTCTACCTTACAATTCAGGCTAGACCAGAGAATGTACATGGGGGTGGGGGAGGGGGGAAGGAAGCATTAAAGAATTAGAGGAAAGTTGTAAGTTTCATCACTGCTACACTGCACCCTGACTGGCTCAACTCCTCCCCCTATGACCCTTTGGTAAGGGGATGTCCAGTTGCCTACACATGGGCTCTGCATCTCCACTCCACACTCCCCCTCATTCATAATAATATGATTTTTTGTTCTGGGTCTTTGATGCCTAATAACTAATCCTATCAACACCTTGTGATCACAAAGGTTGGTATTTCCTCAGGACTTCCTTCCTTGCTTTGCTCCCTTTGCTGTTCTGTTGTACATCCTTAGTGTTTTGCCTCGGTGTGGTGGGGTCAGATTGGGTGCAATTCCCACACTGTGTCTCCAGTGTTGTCCACTGTAGCGCTATGGGTCAGTAAAGGATGTCATGTCTTGTAGTGGGGCTGGCCCTATGGTCCTCTCTGTGCATTGGCTGCTCTGAGCAGGAATATTGTCATCAGGGCTTGGTTGGTCTGGATGTGCTCCACTCTTTCTTCCTCCCCTTTCATTTGCTCCCATGTGCTTTAATCAGACTTGTCCCTCTCCCTGAGCTGTAGCTTCAGTGCTGTCCTTTGAAGTGAATTCTTCTGGGGGGAGGGGGGAAGCTGTCCAGGTAGTTGGTATTGGGGCCAGGCCCTCTAAAACAATTACTGTATATACTCGAGTATAAGCCAAACCGAATATCAATTGAGGCACCTAATCTTACCACAAAAACTGCATTAAAAATGTGCTGAAAAACTTGGCTTATACACGAGACTATACGGTACTATAAATATTCTCAACATACACAGGAGCAAAGGAAGAGGGACGAGAGAGTAGGACACATCCTCGCCCACCAAGCCCCGAGGGCGATATTCCTGCTTAGAGCAGCCAATACACAGAGAGGACCATAGGGCCGGCCCCACCACGAGACATGATGTCCCTCACTGACCCATAGCACTCTGAGGGAAAGCACTGGAGGCACAGTGTGGGAATTGTGTCCCATCTGACCCCAGCATTTCAGGAGAAATGCTAAGGGAGTGCAACAGAGCAGCAAGGGGAGCAAAGCAATGAAGTCAGACCTTGAATTATTTATAGGCTTTTCTGTTCTTTGGGGGGTTTTTTGGGTCAGTTTTGTTGTTGTTTTGTTTCCAATGAGCAATAGAAGGCTTGAAAAATCATCAATAGCAGCCAACACAAACGCCTCACCAAAGATAAGCAGCTCCAGCTATTACATTAGAGGTGAGTTAATTAAATGTTTGATCACTCTGGCCTGTGAATAATCCAAATGGCCCTTGGCAGAAAAAGGTTTCTCACCCCTGGTTTAAAGCCAAAATAATGAGGTGTTGCAGAGATGTATATGTAGAAATAAAAAGTATTACAACAAAGATGCCAGATGGGGAGATAAAAGATTATTCTTATGAAGTTCATAAATTGTGAACTGTAGTGAATAAAGCTGATGGTGCCCGGCTATCAAAAGACATAGTATCTGGGGTGTTAAAGGCTTGGAGGTAAACAAGCAGCCATCTAGCTCAGAACCAACAAAGCCCACATGGAAGAAGCACACCAGCCTGTGTGATCACGAGGTGTAGAAGAGGTCAGGTATCAGGCTTTAAAGAACAAAAAATCAAATCATTGTGAATGAGGGGAAGTGCAGATTGAGGACCCAAGACCCATCTGTAGGCAACTGGACGTCCCTTTACAGAAGCGTTGCGGGGAGGAGACGAGTCAGTCAGGGTGCAGTGTAGCAACAATGAAACCTACAACTTTCCTCTAGTTGTTAAATGCTTCCTCCCCCTTTCACTATCATGATCCCAATTTTACTTTACATATCTAGCTAGAGCAGAGGATGTACACTGGTACAGATAGGAACTAGAAACACAGGGAATCCAGGACAGATGATCTCTTCAGGACCAGTGCTGAGAGTGGCGATACCAGGATGGTGGAGGGAGGGTGGGGTGGAATGGGGGAACCAATGACAAGGATCTACATATAACCTCTTCCCTGGGGGATAGACAACAGAAACGTAGGCAAAGGAAGACATCGGACAGTGTATGATATGACAATATAATAATAATTTGTAAATTATCAAGAGCTCTTGAGGGAGGGGGGAGTGGGGAGGGAGGGAGGGAAAATAAATGAGGAGCTGATACCAAGGTGTCAAGTAGAAAGCAAATGTTTAGAGAATGTGAAGGCAATGAATCCACAAATGTGCTTGACACAATGGGTGCGTGTATAGATGGTGATAAGAGTTGTATGAGCCCCCGGTAAAAAGATTTTTTAAAAAAGGACTGGTTGACATTCAACCATCAAAGGCGGTATATAACAAGTACCTATGATGGAAAGGCATAGAGGCTGCAGAAATGGGCTCACCATAACAACAATTGTGAGGAGTGCATGGGTCAGGGCACTGTTTTGCTCTGCTATGCATAGGGTTGCTATGAGTTGGAGCCGACATTACAACAACAACAACATGTTGCTGAAGGAAGAAGTCTTATAGCATTAGGTCCCAAAAGGATGTAGGAATTGATGTAACAGTAATTGTGATATTTCAAGAAAGGAATAAAACAGTGGAGCAGCTCACTTGTCTGTGCTAAGCAGTTTGGAAAACAGCTACCTGGCCAACTGACAAGAGATCCATAATATATGTCCACCTCAAAGAAAGGTGATCCAACAGCATGAAACAATTATCAAATAATATCACTGATATTGCATCCAAAAAGGGGTTTGCTGAAAATAATTAAAAAAACAAAATAAAACAAAAAATGATTGCAGTAGCATATCCCTAGGGAACTTCCAGAAATTCAAGACAAATTCAGAAACGGACATGAAGAGAACATTGCTGAGATCGATGGATCTTGGCTGAAGCAGAGAATACCCTGAGATCTTTATTCGACTCTTCTCGAGCACTCAATTATGCATATCATCACAAATTATGGATAATATTATAAAGGAGAGGAATTGTAGAGCACTTAATGTTGTTCAATGTGGAACGTATACATGGACTAAGAGGCTCTTGTCCAAACAGAACAAGGGAATACTGCAGGGTTTAAAGTCATGAAAGGTAAACATCAGAATTGTTTCTTTTCATCCTGTTCATCTAGTCTGTATTCTGAGGGAGTAGTTCATGAGGAAGAATGCAGCATCAGGATTGGAGAGTCATTAACCACCTATAGCGGATACGATCTTGATTGCAGAAAATGAAGAGGACTTAAAACTGATGAAGATGAAAGATTACACCCATCATTCTGGATTACATCGCAATGTAAAGAAAACGGAAATTCTCACAAGTGAGCCAATAAGCACATCATAATGACTAGAGAAATGATTGAAGTTATTACGGATTTAATTTTACCTGGGTCTACAATCAATGTCCCTGGAGCACTAAAACAAAAACAAAAACAAACCCCAAACTATGTAAACATGCTATGAGTAAATATGCTACAAAGTCAAAGATGCCAGTTGGAGGACAAAGGTGCAGCAGATCATCGCAAATGCATGTGAAAACTTGAAAACGAACCAGGAAGACTAAAGAAGCAATGTATCTGAATGATGCTGTTGGCAAAGAATGCTGAACTGACAATGATCGGTCAGAAGAACGAACAAATCTGTCTTGGAAGAAGTGTAGCCAGAATGCTCCTTAGAAGGAAGGATGATGAGACTTGTTACACATACTTTGGACATATCACCGGGAGAAGCCAGTCCTTGGAGAAGGACATCAAAATCACACTTGGTGATATGAAAGGGCAGCAAAAAAGGGGGAAGACTCTCAAAGAGATGGATTAACATAGTAATTGCAAGTGTTTTCAAACATAGCAATAATTGTGAGGATTGGACAGGATCTGGCAGTATTTTGTTGTAGCTCAGTGAGGATCAACTTAATAACAAAAACTGATTAGTCTCACTGCTTTATGTCACTTGTGTCTGCTTGGGTTAGGATGGGCTGTCTAGAGAAACAGACCAGTGATACTAATCTATGTACAAGAAAGAACTTTATATAAAGAAGCAACATTACACCAAGAAGGTGCCCCAGTCCTGTCCAACTCAAGTCCACAGGTCCCATGTCAGCCAAGGACCTCTTTTGACTCACATCACTGCAGGCCAATG